CTTCCCCATAGAAGGTGCACTATTTAGCAAGAGCTGCTTAAACACTATGGAGATGGATGGTATTCTGCTGTTTTGGTTTGGCAGCTTAGGTTTTGCACATAAGAAGAAAGTCTATTTCATACAAAAAGAATAGAAAGGTATAATCATCCATGCCATCCAAAACTGAAGACCAGACCATCATAGATATATTGTACATTGCACTTTCTGTATATGTATTTAATAAGGGTGATCTAATATATGCATTTAATATATGTAAGGGTAATCTACATGTGTATGGCACACTTATGTGCCAGGTACTGTCCTAATATTTTAATATGCGTCAATTTCTTTAATTTCACAACAATCCTACAAGATATATTATTATCATTTTATAGATGAAAAATAGAGGTTATATCAATTTCTGAGGCCCTATATATAGTAAGGGGCCTCAGGAAGAGCAGGGATGTACCCAAGAAAACCTGGCTTTAGCCTGATGCACTGTCAATATGCTAAGTAAATGCTTAAGACAAGCATGGGAATTTGTAACCTCCTTACCATTTGGTTTGCTATGTTGTATACTTCACTGCTAAAATTGCTATGGATTGAAACATGCTCAATAATGTAATGTCCCTTTTATTTTCTATGCAAAGATAGCCACGGCCTAGAAGGAATTCAATACCATAATAGCCAAGGCCCCTATAGTCCTTTCCATAAAGCAATGAGCAGAAAATAGAGGAATTAAAACCACATTATCTTTACCAGCTGCCTTAAAGAAACCACAACTTGAAGGTAAGTGCAAAGCTAAAGTGAGAGGCACTGGTACCCTTTCCAGTGCAGTTTAATATGAATTACAGTTGATTTTCTCTAATCCCAGATTTTATATTTGCAACTTCACTCATTCACTAACACTTATTTGCAACACTAAAACCATACTCACAGAGCCATCCCAGGCATTTGAGAACTCAGTAGCGTGGTGAAATACCTGACTTGCCTGTGCCTCACATTCCCAGTTAAAATCAAAGAGGGTCACGCTCCACCATCCTCTTCCAGCTCTGTCCTAAATATGTGTCTTTCTCATGGTTTATGTTTTTCACATTCTCATGCTTTTTGATGGTGTCAGGTGGCCCCAGGCATAGTGTTGAAGTGCTGCCCAGGGTTTCTAAGTTCAAGAAGGCTGTGCCATGCCTTGCAGAGAAAATACATGTGCTAGATCAGCCTTTTTCAGGCCTGAGTTTATAGAGATGCTGGCCTTGAGTTCAATGCTAATGAATCAATTATGTATTAGATAAGGTGTCTTTACCCAAAACAGAAGTAAAACACTTCATTATTGATCAGTTGATGCAAACATTGTGACCACAGGCAGGAACTGATGCCGTGTTTGTTATCCCAGTGTTCAGGGTGACCTTTTAGAATGTAACTGCCAAAAAGAGCAAGAACTGACTGTATCTTGGGCTTTTGTTGTGGAGGAGTGCTCTGCAGAGCACCTGAATGGGATGCTGAGTTCTACGTGCCATTCCTACCTCTGTATTTCTCATGATGAACTTGACCAGGCTGTTGTGAAGCATCTCTCTCTCCAGGAACTATCCCTGTCCAAGCAACAGGACTTGGAGGAGTGTGCAAAAGTGTGTGCAGAGGCCTTGTGTCAAGTCTATGGCAGAGTGCAAGGTTCTGGGCTCTCACCTGAGTCAGTTACTTAAGGGACTCCTGTGAGCCAGGACAAGGTAAGTGAAGCACACGTTGTTACATATAAACAATCTTTTTAAATATTGGTGTCATCCTAACCCCAAATTTTTCAGAAGGCATCATTAGAGAATCAAAGTAAATTTTAATAATATATAATAATAATGTGAAATATTTTCAAGGGAAATATCCAGTACTTGTTTCCTTTATGAATTTGGAAAGAATTAAGTATCCAAAGATCTTTGGGTTGATAAAATGCTTTTGTTAAAATCTAAAGTACAAAATAAATAAATATGTGGTTCTTAGAGTTAGTTTAAGTAGTAGACTAAGAAGTAACCTGATGGTAGTGATCCAAGATGGTCTGCATGTCTGGTTATATTGACCGGCTACAGGAGGATCACTCTCTTCTGCTACCTAGGAGCCAAGCAAAGACCTACCTGGACTTGCAAATAAGTTCATCCTCTGACAGTTATGTTCCACGGTACCACCGAAGCATCAACCCCCAAGGAAAATAGTCTCTGTGTGTTTGAATAAGTATCTACTAAATTTTAATCAAGGTTTTACAAGGATCGGGTTGACAGCTTGTCTATGGATATTGTCTAACCTATTGTTAACTCCTGGGTAAGAGTGGACGGGACAGCTGTCAAAATCTAGATGGTGTTCAAAGAATAAGAACTTGTGAGTGTGTGCTGCAGGACCCAGAGAACACTCCCAGGCCCTCCGACACATGACTGTGTTCCTTTGGAAAGGATATTGTGGCAGTGGCAGTCAGACACACCCACACCCGCATCCCTTCATCCTTGTTGTTCAGTGACTCCTACTAGGTGCCACAAAGCCTTTGCCAGACACAGGACCATGCTCTAAGAACACACCTGTCAGGCATGCTGATGTGGCAGGGGAATAAACACCTGCTAGAAATGGTCATTAGGGAACCACTGATAGATACTTGAGGATTGTGTCTCACACAGGATCCCAGAGCTTCAACCCTGTGCTGAGTTGAAGCCCCAGGTGACCATGTGACTGCACTGACCACGTGACTTTCATAGACTGCTTCCTCCTTCCTGCCACAGCTCTCTCACCAGCATTTCCCAGCACCTTTCCCATAAAGCACAGCCAAATCCTTGTCTCAGCATCTGAGTTTCTATAGGGTTTCCCTACAGAGTTCCAATCTCCACTTCTCACTGCAAATCAAGTGACTGGTGTTCTGCTTTATGTACTCTACTTCACAAGTTTGGTTCATGAAGGTCCATCCCTGAGGTTCACAAGGAACTCTGCAAAGATGGACACTGTGGACACATTGGATGTGCAGCACCAACACATTAGACAGCTTTATGCTGCTGTGACCAAAATACCTGACAAAAGTAACTTAGGAGGAAAGATTCATTTTGGCTCATGGCTTCAGAGGTTTTAATCCTTAGACAGCCAACTCCATTGCTCTGGGCCTGAGGAGAGGCAGAGCATGATAGTGGAAGGGTGTGGTGGAGAAGCACTGCTCACTCATGGCAGCCAGGAAGCACAGATACAGAGAGAGACAGACAGGAAGTGGCCAGACAGGAAGTGGGAACCTGCTTCCTCAGGCCATACCCCATCTGCCTATAAGTCCAATCAAACTATTAATCCTTCAAATCCACTGAGGAGGTTTAAGTCCTGATAATCCAATCAGTTCAACTCTGAACATCACGAAATTGCCTAACACATGGGATTTGGGGGGAACATTCCAGATTCAAACCATAACAGCAGAAAATCGGTAAAATAAGAACACTTTGTGAGCTGCTGTCTCACCCAATCAACATCTGATCTCATCTAATAGGAAGGCTGATTTGTTTTTACTTTATTTATTCCCCAAAGTTGGACATAAATAGAGTTTTATGTAGGGAAACACATGATTTGATGGGTATAGAGATTTAACTGGTTTTTACAGAATTAACCATTTCTACCAAGTCACAAAATGTTGGGCCAAGAGGCCCATGTGGACTAACACTGCACAACAGAGAGAAGGACAACAAGAACAAGAGAACCAGACAAGCATATGGAACTTTCCAGGTGTCCCACTGTCTTTATATATAATGTTGTGAAAATTATATGAATTAATATATATTCTGTGCTTTATGAACAAAAAAATAACTATAATATGCATAGACAATTCTGGTAACCAATACTAGTGAAGGGAGGAACTAACCTAAAAATAATGTTGATATGATGTGGACAGTCTGGTGTCACTGAGGCACAGGGACTGATCTGATCTACACAGCAGAGCTCATGTCCTGGGTCTGCCACTCTTTAGTTAGGGGACATGAGCTTCTCCAGCCTCACTCAAATTCCCATATGTGAAATGAAGAGAGTAGAAGTGATCTCTTAGGATGGATGCACAGCGTAAGACAAACCTCCAGCACCACAGATATTTAAAAGGGCTTTTCTTCATGTCCTATCTCACAGGGAAAGAAAAGAAGAAAATATTTCCCATCAAATTGTCCAGTGTTTCATAGTTGGGAAAGGAGAGAAGAGAGAGATGACAGAGGTGTCAGATGGCTGTTAGAGAAAGATGATCCCCCAGTCTTTCTTTGAACATAGGATATACCTTTGGGGTTTTCCCAATAATATACTGCCCGATGTACTTATAATAATTATCTTGGAGAGATGCAATTACATTTTTTTTTAGTGTGGTTACACATCCAGTTCAATCTTACTGAAAACCCTGAGAAGAAATAGCTTGCACCCATCAGTCTCTACAATTTGAAGCATCTGAAGACTGAGATACGAGACTGTGACCCCCATTCCCTCCTGGATGAGGCTCAGGTGGGTGTCTCTTTCTGAGACTCTCATTTTTGCTGCTACTTTGCTGACTGCTGTCCACCTGCCTCATTCTTTTTTGGGGGGACAGTTTATTACTTTCTGTAATCTCAAGTTTGGGTCCAAGAGCTATCATGGAAATGGTGCATCTATCACCAGTGATTCTGTAGAGCATAAACTTGGCGTGTTTTTTCTGAGTTTGTAGGATGAAACTTCCTCCATCAGTGTTTATGAGTGAAGTCATAAAAGCCATGATAAAATGTTAACTTCCGGCAAAATATTTTAACTGTGATAACAAATATCACTGTACTTTGTACATAGCTCAGACTTAATGATCCATTACTATGCATTTTCCAATGCCCCTACATCAAGAGTTCAAGGACATAAAGGTCACAGTGAACCTAACTGTGTGTTGCCTTTAGGTCTAATGTGATAATGCTTTTTGTTTTTCCTCTTTTTAACAGCACTTTAAAACAGGGGCAAGGAAGATAGAAAGGCAGGGACAACAAGTGGCACGCAGACAGCAAGAGGCTGCGGGGCCCATCACCAACCTCCACAGACCACACCGTCCAGGTCCTCACAGCGGCGATCGTCACACTCGCAGGTCTTGCCATACACCCTGCGATCTCCTGGTGGGTAGCACGTGCATTTGCCACATTCACATTTGCCTGAAAATTGTAAAGAAAGGGCACCCTGGTTAGGAGAATCACAGAATCAAAGGATTCATGAAAACAAGCACAAATGCCCAGGATGTGGGGAGTAGCTGTGACAAAGGCCAGCTCAGAAGTCCTTCACAATGTCTACACTACTTTTGTTGAACACATCTTTGAAGAATAATCCCATTATCAAACTTTCTGGCTATTTCATATTAAATTCAGTTTAATGGTACCATTTAAAATAATTGAAGCAATTTATATACTTGGGCATAATTTAATATAATGTATTCTTTTTAAATATCTTTTTAATGGGGGTAAAAAATGGTCACTGTTACCTTTCAATGTGGTATTTGAGTGATCTGTGCAAATGGTTGATTCCATAGTTCATGGAATTACTTCAATATGAAATATTCCCAGAGATCTTTATTATGTTAAACTTAAGATTTAAAAGTACAAACATTTTTTTTTTTTTTTTTTTTGGAATGAGTTGGGCTCATAGCTAGACCATCCCTTAACTAGTAACATGATGATTTTCATCATTATTTCTTGAGCTGTCACTGTGTATCCCTATAACTCCTTGCACTATGTCATTTTGTTTTTATGATACCACCCACCGACTACCATTTTACTAAACAGGAAATTGAGACATCCTGAGGCACAGCCACTGTTCCTGGAGAACCAGAAAATAAGGGACAGAATCAAAACTTACATCCGTTCTCATTAACCTTCAGGATCATGCACCTAGCTATTAAGCCATATTGCATCTGAATATACTCTCAGCACAGTATCAGAGGCTACATGAGAAAGAAAAATTCTTCTGGGGAATCTTCTTGGTTTGCCAGAAATTCAGTTGGGTGACAGTGCTCCGAGACATCTGTTACTCTCTGTCATTAGCCCAACCATCATAATTACACACCCACTGAAATGAGCCAAAGACGTTCAGGGCTGACCCTGCAAAGCTCTTAGTCATTCTATTGCTGTATTTGTATCTTGTTCAGGAAATTCAGAGTTGGAAGATGATGGAGGAAATAAAAATTGGTATTTAGAATCGCATAATTTCATAGCTGTAATTACAGATAATCTAATGCAGCGATTCAGACTCTTCCCTGGCAGAAGTGGGGGGTCGGCGTCCCTGGGAGAATCTGAAGAAGGAGAAGGCAAAGGAGAGGGTTGTTCTGGTGGCCCCAGCTCATCTCCTCCTGGGAGAAGGTGGTGTCCTCTTCAGCAGGAGGCAGGGTCCCCTCCCCCGGATGACATTCCCTCTTCCTATCCCTTGGTGGCCAGAATGGGGACACACTAGACAGGCACTTTTGGTCAAGAATCATAGGCTCCTAATCTTGAAGGCAGAAGGAAAGGCACAGCTCTGAGGTTGAGCAGCGAGCACCACAGCCCAGCTGTGAGCAGGCAGGGTGGAGGAGCTCAGTACGCAGTGACAGCATTTAGAAGGGACAGCTATGGGACTGGCGCTCAGCAGTGCCCTTGCTTCCATGGGTTTCCTCAGTGTCGGATTGTGCAAGTTTGCACTCTGAGCCGGAAGAAAATCCTTTTTATTTTAAATCCTAGTTATTGAAGTTGGTTTCTGTAGTTTGCAATCAAGACCCTTAACTGGGGGAATGTAGGGTTCAGGTTTCAGAGACATTGGCCACAAGCTACAAAATGTCAGTTATCCAGGAGTTCAAGAGATCTACCGCGACACCATGGTGACTTGGGCTAGAACAATCTATTGTATTTTGAAATATGATACCACACACTGACTACCATTTTACTAAAGAGAGTAGATTTTAAGCAGTCTCATCCCAATACATGTTTCTAAGACAGAATATTAACACTTTAATGCCCAATTTTGTACAAGAAATATAAAAGACTGAATCCTTTGTCTTTTATTGTAAACAGAGTAGATTTTAAGTGGTCTTACCCCAAAACATTGTTGATAAGCATGTGAAGAAATGTGTATGTTAAGTTAGCCATTCCATAACTTATACCTACTTTGAAACATGTTGTACACAATAAATATAAAAATATTTTGTCAATTAAAAAATCAAATTAAATTTAAAAAGAATGCTAGCAGGCAAAACTCAGGATTCTCTCTGGAAAAATCCACTGGTACGTTTAATTTAATTTTTTCAGATGTTGGGTGGCTCCATGACGTCCCTCCTATTTATATAACAGATGAGATGAAGAAACTGGGGCGGAATGACTTGCCTGAGGCCAGCTGACTGGACCCCAGTTAGTGGGAGGGTTGGGATAGATTTTCTCAGTGAGTAAGCATCTGGCCACCGTCAGGGTGGACATGTGAACAATTCCAGTAATGCTGACTGCAGAGGGAAAGAGCTAAACTCAGGGCCACCAGCCGTGCGGACTTGAGGGCTCACTGTTTCCCCACAGACAGAGGTGGGAACCACCACTATCAGTTCTGAGAGGGAACACGTTCCCAGTTACAGACAGATCCATTTTTACATTTCAGGTCATATGCATTTATGGTGAAAATTTATTCGTATTTTAAGGCGTATGGCAATTTTTCTGAATATGCATCATTGGCTTCTGTGTTTCTTTGGAAAGGATGAACTAAATATTGACATCTGTGTTGAGATACAGCCATTTCATTGGTTTCACCATAGATGGTTTTTGTCTTTCACATTTCTTGTATAAAGTTGGGCATTAAAGTGTTAATATTCTGTCCAAGAAACATTTTCTTTTCCTGTGGATTGTATTTCACATCTTTTCCAAGTGTCAGAAAATAATTAACCATTTGCAATTCCTCTTTGATATGTATTGACTGGAGTCTCATTTTCTTTTTTTTTTTTAAAGACATCTTACAGCAAGTTTTAGCTGAATTAACTTTATGCATGTGACTGTAGTACATTTGAAAGGATATAATCGCCTCTAATGGAAAGGCAAAAAAAATCAGAAAAAGCTAATTTACTGTAAATAAAGAGTGAAAAAGAGTACATTCCTCATGCAGTCACATTTTAAGGTGTATTATTTTGCTGTCTCTATTCACAACTTCTCTGACTACCAAAAATCTCTTCCACTTGGGTCCAGAAAAACAAACCTTATCATATACCTGCCAGGTAAATTCAACCATACTTCAATGGGTCAAGTAAATTTCACCAAATCCATGACACCTGCACCTTCTTATGCACACTCACAAATACAACATTTCATTGGTGCATTGCAATCTTACATCATAACGGACTCACACATGTACAATTCAGGGTTTGGTCTATTTCAATCCCTCATACTCTGCCTTTACCTCCCTTCCTCTCTCCCCAGATCCACTTCTTCTAGTCTACTGGCCTCTTCTGTTTTTATGAGGTCCTTTTGCTTTCTTTTTTCTAACTTCCACATGTAAGAGAAAAACATATGAACCTTGACTTCCTGAGTCGGTTAACTTCATTAGCATATGGTCTCCATTTTCATCCATTTTCCTGCAAGTGACATAACTTTGTTCTTCTTTCTAACCAAATAAACCCCATTATGTATATATACCACTAGTCATTCATCAAATACACCAAAATCAATCCACTTTTCATGTCTTCATAAGGTTCTGAATCAATATTTATTGAATGGATGCAGTAAATAATAATCATGTGTAAACAGTTTACTAATATTCACACAATACCTGAGCTTTCATGCAAGGAATTATGTTTGTTTCTCCCAGAACACATATGCATTTCCAATTGCTTGAATACCTTCACTTGCATTTCCCAGTTAGATCAAGTAAGTGTGTTCCCCCAGCAAATTCATTATCTTCATTCACAAGTCTACTACTTCTCTTCATAGGTCCTTTATCTGGGAGAAAGGCACTGTCATCCAATCTATCACTGACTGCAAAAAGTGGTGACATACTTGGTTCTTCTCTCCTTTTATTCAATCATTCTCCTTTCAATTACAAATTTCACAAGATCTACCTCCTTATAAGGTGTATCTGATTATTCTCACAATGTATCCTATTTTGAAAACTGCTGAGAGTAGACTTTGAATGATATCACCACAAAACGTTGACAATTCTGTGAGGTAATGCATATGTTAATCAGCTTGGCTTAGCTATTCCATAATGTATACATATTTTAAAACATTTTGTACAAAATACATGTATACAAGTTTCATGAATCTTTCTGCAAGGAAGTTCAAGGATCTTTTCCTTGAAGTTCAAGGAAAAGGGAAAGGGAACAGAGTTCCTCAGCAGAGTTCTGCACTCTTGGACTAACTTGCATAGTTAGTCCAAGAGCATAGCCATTGATAGTTGTGGCCCCCAGCTGGAGACTTTGCTATGTGCCTTGCTTCTCTGTGCTATGCATTCTACCACCCTCTCTGGGAATTCTTACCCAGCAATCTGATTTCCCTCATGAAGCCTTCTTTACCAGTCCTGTTTTGTTACCTGGAAGAATGGATCCCTTTCTCTGATCCATATTACTTTGTCTACACTACTAGTAGAGAACTGAGCATAAATTTTATACTAGATAACTTAGCATCTGAACCTTATCATAGAGAGTGAGATCTTCATAGTCCAAATCAGCAGTGAGGTTTCCCTTTGATGTAGGGAAGAATGACATCCAGATTTGTAGTCTTCCCTGTCCAGACAAGATTTGAAGCCCAAGGTCCTTCCTTTATTTACTAAATGGTATTATTGCCATTATTTTAATGATTGTTTTAAGGATATGGAGCTGTAACTGTGTCTTCTCAAATAACTCTAAAATTAACATACTCATGAATAAGAACAAAAGATTTTGCAAGCCTGCATTTCAAGCACTAATAAACGTTATTTTATGTTACATAGTGTGAACAAAATCTAAGAACAGGGACATTCAAAGCAATAAAAATAAATCAAGTAATATTTTAGAAATGAAGGAATAGAGAGAATGGAACATGGAGATAACTATGTGAGAAGAAACTAATTCTGTCACCATCAATATAATTCAACCAAAACTTGTCTAAAATTTCTCTATGCTGGTTACATACTCCTATTAAATTTTAATAATATATATAGTCTTCAAGCACATAAAAAATCA